CATTCGAGGATCAGCTCATTTAAAAAATACTTCTTTTTGAAATTTACAGCGATAGAAAGTTGAATAATTTTTTGATATGTAGTACTAATTTTTATGGCAAAAAATAACAAATAACTTGTGCTGTTTTTGTGTCAAAAAGTGTCAATATTAGCATTATTTTCACTGGAACGTGCTTTACGAAATGTGATTTGTTGTAATAGCCACCAACACAGCCGAAAGGCTAGACATAGTGGCAACGATAGCCCTGTCCCTGGAATAAAAAGAAGACCTACTAATACACAGTCCCAATTAGGGCTAACCGTTATCAAAATACTTCGATCTCGGCGAGATTGTGACATGACACCGAAAGCAGGTGCGTGCTTAATTTTAACGCTAGTGCGCAAGCGCGGGCTGATCGAGAGGGGCTCTCGATGACTTCGCGGTTCGGCGAACAAACACAAAAGCGACGTGCTATAGAATCTTGACTGGGGCAGAGTTGCCAATCCCCTCTATATACTGTCCCTGATGTAGCCGAATGTGTAACGCAGTTTTCTTGCGACTAGAAAATAATCTTTGCAGGTTCGAATCCTCCTTCAGTTATTTTTTTTTTAAATATTTAGGCATGTGATCATTTTCCTTAATAAGGCAATGGTGGTTTTTTAAATCGATGGAAGATTTTGTTTACATTTTAATAACATACCTTTTGATTTATCAGTTTTGTTAGTAATTACTTCTATCGAAGCATGTCAACAAATCCCTGTACACGTGTACAGTGCAGCTACGCCTTGTAGGTAAGACACTATTTTTGATGAAATTTATGATTTGTTTCACCATCCAAATGGCAAAAGTAATTATATCAAGTGCTTAAACACCAACAAATAATGCCGATATACCAAATATGTGGTCTGTTTACAATAATCTATGCTTAGACACGGGATTCCGATATTTCTACCTGTATAAAAAATACCTGAGGACGCGTCATAACAGTGCACGGTTGGTGCGCGCACTAGCGTAAGATAGCTTTGGGGAAATAGGCATAGCAACCCGCCATATCTCTTTCTAGCTGAAATGATTTTCTCACACGATGTCCGTAAACTTGTACATTTGTAGCCGAAATTTATTCTGACACGGTTTTTATTAAATAGTTGTTTAAAAATATCTGGTTTAGCCCAACGTTTCAAATTTATGACGATTTGAAATATTTTGTTTTTACATACTAGCTGTCGTTACACTTGAGACATGGCCATTTCATTCTTTTAACCCTATTACTACCGATGAACCCTCAGTGGTTGAGTTTAATTGTTATTTGGTGCAGTGCATATTTACTTTGGCCTCCTGCTTTGACTTATATTACTATTTTTTGTTTCTAAGAGATGCTCCATTACTTCGTATATCTACTGGTTATTTCCTACCAAATATACTCAATCACTTTTAGTGACCATGGTTTATTATTTCCTGTTAAAATATTATCAATCATGGTTGTATGCATACATTAAAAAGCACGCTTCATTATTTATCGAAATAAACGGTTTTAATTTGTATTAAATGGCGTAATTATATATAATTATGTATATATGTCTATGATAATTAATATTGCCAAATGATGAGCCTTTCAGAAGAAAAAGACAATATTACATTTTATTCAATAATGTGATATATTGACGGAAATATACCAAGCTTATCCTATCCATGATGCGGGAAATTAACAGACATATTTTGAGAGAAAATAACACGGCTATACATCTTAATTGTTATATGCTTAGTTTTATGTTTTTAGGAAAGAGGGTTAAAATGTACGTAACTTGTGATTATTTGATATCCTAATTATTTAATTTAAACAATAATATTTTCTTTATAATTCTTTTTTTTATAATTGCTTTCCAAGTTTCAGTTTTATTGGATAGTTTTGAGTAAATCTCCTTCCCTCTTACTAGTAACTTATCATTGCACAATTATTACCTAAATTCAATATTTAATTTATGACTATCTGGGTTACACTGTACATCATTCCCCTTAAAATTTTAATTGAAATTTATAATTAAAATTCGAATTATAGTATTGCCAGAAAAAGTACGATTGCCGGTCATGTACGTGTTATATGTAAATGACATCAATTGCTCATCCATTCTTAAGTAATAATATTTGTCTTGTGTAAAGTCTTTATTAATAAACCATTAAGAAAAGCTTCATAATATAATATTTCTAGTTTGTCACGATGAAATGTAACATAAAGAGTTCCGTCAACACGGCCCTGTTTAACTGCCGGTATCCGATACCCGCGGGCAATGACTGGTGTTTATATACGACACCTGAGCATATTAAATCAAAACTCAAGTGCTGTTCAAGAGAGCACAGCTCTTCATCCACTGTCCGAATGCGATGACCAACTCATTCAAAGTGACCGTTTGACCCGTAGGGTAATATTTGAAAAGCACTGGACAGACTAATTTTTGTTTTATTTTGTATTGAATTTTTGTTGGAACTTAAAACTGAATTGAAAATAAACTTTCAAAAGTGAATATTTATTTTAAATTCAACTAAACAAGTTTAAACTTCTTCGTTTTCCTCTTTTTGTATCGTTTTAAGATAGGGATCGGATCAAAGTACCGACACGTAATCTTAAAGACGAAAGGTCAACTACATCGCCGAGGATTTGTTAATGTAAATAGTCCTCAAACAGGATTACAGCTGGACACTGCCAATCATTTAATCCCGAGTACCGGACACTCGACGAATTCACCACTATAAACATTTATACTCTTATATAAGCTAGCTCTTACAAATTTACTATCAATAACACACACGTCAACTTTTATCTCTGGACAGTTTGAGTTTTTTTCAAATAGTTATTCTTGGTTATTAAAACTGATACGTGTTGACACAAGGAGTTCTCTGAGTCAGCTACCAATATACAGGTAAATATTTAACAACCTATATGTTATGAGTAGTTGAATTTGTTATTATCCACTGCAGGTATTCACTTTGATCTAGCCGCTATCTGTAGTAAAAATTAGTTATCTATTTATTTCAAATTTAATCTTAATCTGTCATCAAATTATTAGTTTATATGAAATGATACATACTGCCGCAGTGACTGTGATATACTGGGAGGAATGCCTGAGTCATCAGCTGACGTGTACGTTACAGATCGTCAAATTGACCTTTTCGTTTTGCGGACGTTGTAACGTTGAACCACCCGAAGCACTCATTTGATCGTGCATTCCCTTTACTTTTATCGAAATGTTGAAATTTAAGCACAAATGTTTATTTAAGTTCTCCTCTCGTCCTGCGTAAACCATTTAATCAAGTGCGTACATACATTTGGTTATCGCATGACGAATGTCATTTAATTGTTTTACGAACAAACGTTGGGTTTATTTCAACAGTTTAATTTCACGTTCTGTTGAACTTTACATGATAATTAGCAATATCAAAAGGGAAGATGTAATGGGACGCTTAAGTGAAAAGCGATAAGTAATGGCATCAGGCAAGGACATTCCACTCTGTCTCATTCGGTCAAAATATATTCTAATTTTGAAAAGGCCAAAGAGAAACGGATCCAGTGTGTCATATCTTTATTATAGAAATATATATAAATTTAAACGTTTGAGTAAATAACCATAAATAGATCTATTTATATCTTAAAGTCAAGCGTTTAGACGTCAAACGTCGTCACCACCTCTTTATCCTTATGAGAACGTGATATTACTTAGACCTTGACCTACTTGGCGGGTGATTTCGATGAAGTATAAGACGCTTAACCTTCCGCAACACATGGTCTTATTATCCTGTTATCTTTTCAAGTATCACAATATTAATATTTTCTTTATCTATTGCTCTTGGTATTTTTATATTGATTGATATGCTAGCATGTTGTTTATGTATCCCATTTGTCACACTTTCGTCGTATGACACGTCCTTAAATGACCTAAGCTATTGATTGGAGTTTAACAAAATAAAAATAAATCATCGTATGAAGTTGTCCAGGCACTCATCAAACAGGGGCGTCATGTGACGTCATAGACAAATTATATTTCTCTTCTTCTTAAGATATCGACGACACAAATATTCGCTCATCTCTGGCTTTTTAGAGGGTCACTTTTTAAATGTTATATATCATAACAATAGACGTGATAAATTTATCACAGCTAATCCGCGTCTACAAAGTGACATTATCTCCGAATTTCTTTTTCACTGCAAATTGTAGGTTTTACTTCCATTTATAGTTTGAGGAGAAATTCTATCCGGCGTATTTCTATGTTTTCTAGATACAGATAATCTCGGTGATATCAACTTTGATATGTTATCAATGCGGGTAGTCAATATATGCCACTATGGGAAAGACAGTTTTTGTGAGAGTTTATCTTAAAGACATGAACTCTATAATTGATAGATTGTAATGTCCCCGATCTTGTTATTCTCTTTGTTCATACAAAAATCTCCAGAATTTCCTGTTGTAATAAATTATTGCTTTCAGATACCTATTCAATTTACGAAAGAATAGGCACACATTCTTTTACGATTTGTTTAAAAGTAGTAAGAATAGTCTTAGCTTCCTTCATAATTCATGAGTTTATATTTTCCTGTCCCAAAGTATTTTCATTTAATATCCGATCTAGTTATGATAATACTTTCAAGAATATTTGCGAATTAATTGCATTCGCAAAATAAGAAAAGCTCTGACGTTATATAAGTTTTCTTTTATATTGATATGGTATTTATAATCATAAATAATTCATTTATTTATATTGTTTCAAATGTTATGGGAAAAGAGGTAATAACGACAGTGCAGACAAAGACATGTGCCATATTTTCAGGGCAATCCGCCCCTTTTTTCAAGACATAAATAGCCCACGTATCTATTTAAGTAATACGCTTCCATGGATCCAGTTTCCATATTTGATTATAAAATTGTACTGTAGTTATTACTTATGAGACCTATATTGTTTAACATTTTTGTATTGATACCGTATTTCTCGATCTTAAATGCAACTTTTGTTTTAACATTTATTATTTTGATACTAATCTCTTAAATTGTCCTCTGACGGTGTACCTCCTCTGTCGGTTGTCCTCTGAAGGTACCTCCTCTGTCGGTTGTCCTCTGTCGGTACCTCCTCTGTCGGTTGTCCTCTGTCGGTTGTCCCCTGACGGTACCTCCTCTGTCGGTTGTCCTCTTTCGGTTGTCCCCTGGCGGTTGGCCCCTGACGGTACCTCCTCTGTCGGTTGTCCCCTGACGGTTCCTCCTCCGTCGGTTGTCCTCTGAAGGTACCTCCTCTGTCGGTTGTCCTCTGTCGGTTCTCCCCTGACGGTACCTCCTCTGTCGGTTGTCCTCTGAAGGTTCCTCCTCTGTCGGTTGTCCTCTGTCGGTTGTCCTCTGACGGTGTACCTCCTCTGTCGGTTGTCCTCTGACGGTACTTCCTCTGTTGGTTGTCCCCTGACGGTACCTCCTCTGTCGGTTTTCCTCTTTCGGTTGTCCCCTGTCGGTTGTCCCCTGCCGGTACCTCCTCTGTCGGTTGTCCCCTGACGGTCCCTCCTCTGTCGGTTGTCCTCTGACGGTTCCTCCTCTGTCGGTTGTTCTCTGTCGGTTGTCCTCTGTCGGTTGTCCCCTGGCGGTTCCTCCTCTGTCGGTTGTCCCCTGGCGGTTCCTCCTCTGTCGGTTGTCCCCTGGCGGTTCCTCCTCTGTCGGTTGTCCCCTGGCGGTACCTCCTCTGTCGGTTGTCCCCTGACGGTTCCTCCTCCGTCGGTTGTCCTCTGACGGTGCCTCCTCTGTCGGTTGTCCTCTGTCGGTTGTCCTCTGTCGGTTGTCCCCTGGCGGTTCCTCCTCTGTCGGTTGTCCCCTGGCGGCACCTCCTCTGTCGGTTGTCCTCTGACGGTACCTCATCTGTCGGTTGTCCTCTTTCGGTTGTCCCCTGGCGGTTGGCCCCTGACGGTACCTCCTCTGTCGGTTGTCCCCTGCCGGTACCTCCTCTGTCGGTTGTCCCCTGACGGGACCTCCTCTGTCGGTTGTCCTCTGTCGGTTGTCCCCTGACGGTTCCTCCTTTGTCGGTTTTCCTCTGACGGTACCTCCTCTGTCGGTTGTCTTCTGACGGTACCTCCTCTGTCGGTTGTCCCCTGCCGGTACCTCCTCTGTCGGTTGTCCCCTGACGGTACCTTCTCTGTCGGTTGTCCTCTGACGGTACCTCCTCTGCCGGTTGTCCTCTGACGGTACCTCCTCTGTCGGTTGTCCTCTTTCGGTTGTCCC